TAAGGAAAGTATTAAGACTTTATTAGCAAGGAAGTATAAAAACTTCTTGCGAACATCTTTTTTGTGTGTGATCAGAGGATCAGTGGAAAGAGTTGCCTTTTTAATTCACAATTATATAATCATGGTTCATTTAAATACTGTATAAATAAAATAAACTACTTATGTATTTACAGTATGTAAAAAATTTATTAATAAAATATACTGCATAAAGTTGCATTATTTAACTATATACAGTATTTAGAACAAATTCTATCTTCTTTTTCTAATTTTTTTTTTTTTTATTATAGAATCACATTTACTCAAGATTTCATTATCTCGACTAAATTTATAGTGCTCACTTAGGATGCCTTTTTAATTAAAAAAAAAAAAAAAAAAAAAATTTTTTTAATTATACAGCCGCCATTACTTTGCCGGTTCATATACAGCATATACTATATTTTCTTGAGTGGCTATTGATATTCGAAGCATTAGAAAACTATACGTATTACAATGCTGTAATGAATATCATGCATAGCGCAAATAAAAAGATCTTCGCATAAAATACTTTTCGTTCAAGAATAAGAAGTTATGTAATCATTCAAGCGAATAATATTGTACCGTAGAACGCTGCATAAAGTATCCCCTAGGTTTTTTTGGCAGTGTTTTTCTTTTTTTTACTAATTAACTTTTCGCCTAAATTGATTGGTACCCGGGGTACTGTGTGCAGCGCTCAACGGTAATTATAAACAAGGAAACAGGTCCATTTAACTGTATATTTGATACATAGAATCACGGTCCAGATAAAGGTCGAGCCAATGAAATCTCACATGCACCTTATTTGAAATGCATTACGAACAAAAATTCGAAAATTTACCAAGTGAACAGATGACGGATTAACCATAAATATTTGAAACTGCAATTGCGTTTTATTATAAAAATTTGTTTTTAAGTATACAATGCTTTTAAATATATTATCGAGTAATATTAATGCTGTGATTTGAATTTTCAATTTAACGAATGATTGTGAAAAAAAATACATGTGATGAGTGAAATTGAAGGAAAAAAATTTTTATATCAACTATACAAAGAGAGAAAAAGATAATACACGAAAAGAATAATAGAAAAAAAATTAATTTGGATATTTTAGTAATACAATGTGATTATCACTATGGGTTGTCTGAATCTTAAATGTTCATGTATACATGACGAAATTCAATAAACCCCCCCCCTCACCCCCTCACCCCTCAAAATGTTTTTTATGGTGAAATTATCGTCAATTCCATCTCTTCACCCTCACTGCTAGCCGTTCGTCGTCGTCTCACATGACTGTTATCATCCACCAATGAGCAACTAGATCCATTATTTGGCTTTATCGGAGACGGTGACCGACTGGGACTCGGCGACCACCGGCTGAATAAAAGTCTGCTGGGGAGCGTTCGGCTTCTATTCAGTGAAAAGGTCGACAGGATTGATAGCCGATTGGTGCTGTATTCGGACGGTGTTGAGGTGGTCAATGTATTGGATCGATGCAGCATATTTAATTGACTCCGACCAGGATTTATTGGACGGTACACCGATCGGCGAAATCCTTCAAACGAACTGTCCTCGCCCGAGAATGCATAGCCGGTGAACGATTGCCGTTTTCCCGAGCCCATGTGGAATAATTGTTCCACGGAGCGTATAGAATCGGTTCGTGATTTCCTTAGAGTGGTGAGTTTAGGTAATTTCGCCATAGATCGCGGTTTAAGTGATACATCCGTTGTCGACGGTGATGGTGTAATCGTTATGTCGGTGAACGATGCGACCTCTTGACCGGCATCCGATGCGATATAACTTAAAGTGCGGAATGATCGATCCGCGGAGTCGGGAATCTCGCTGGTGATTGGTACTTTGTCTTCCTCCCTGACCTCCTCGACGAAACTTGTCCTTACCTTCCCTTTCTTGCTCTTCTTTCTCATGTACACTTGTTCACGTACAATGTCCATGTCACTCGGCCAGTATGTCTTGTGAATGTATTTGACGGAGTACCGCGGTAAGATGCTGAGCACCACTGCCAACACCACGGCAAACCAAAATTCTATCTCGGTGTATAGTATGAGGTCCATTCTAGAGAATCCAATATACCAAAGCGAATAAAATTCTACCCACACGTAAAATGACAAAATGCTAAGTCCAATGACCACAAACGCTATCCACGACCAATTCATTGTGTTTAGCCCGACGTAGATGTTGGTAGTGGCAACCACAGAACCAGCCACCATTGTTCCCAAATCAGTTAACCCATTGTTCTGTAATCCATTCGCGTGCGATGATCCATATAACATCAGCCCCCACGGTATAAAGAAGCAAACGACCGATTGGTAGACTGCATCTAAAACGTAAAGCCAGAATTTTGATTTCGTAAAATCTTGTTGAAGGATACCACGTTTATATAGTTGTGGGTTTTTTAGTGAGGTCTTCGCGTCAACGTCCTGGTCGAAAGCACCTGACAAAAAGCATGGCGTAAAGATAAGCAAACAAAAAAAAAAAACTTTTTATGTCTATGACGGTCGAAACATCACGTACCGAGAAACATGACGGGAACCGCCGTAAATACGAGATTGTATAACAATATATACGTGTAGTCATATAAGTATTGCGCCGTAAATCTAAAAAATTGCCAACGTGTTTATTGTCAATGTTGTTGTTCCTCAAGTGCTGCAAATGCCTAATCCGAAATCCGCCGACCGCAACAACTCGATCCCAAAAATATTTTCGAAATGCTTACCCCGCCCAACATTGATACCAGAACATGGCGATCGTCCACACAATGTTCTTATAGAAGAAACATGAAATCATCTCGGAAATTCGAATATACGACCACCGTCCATGAACCAACAGCAGTTTATCCAAAAATCGAAACTGTGCAAAAGCATAGTCAGCCGCCATCGTAGCTTGCCGACCTTCTTCTCCGGCGATACCGATGCCGACGTTTGCCTCTTGAATCATACTCACATCGTTGGCGCCTTTACTCGTAAGAAGAAGTAAAATAAGAAGATGATGAATTGGTACATATTTTTTGAACGAATGTCATCACAAAAGAAACTAAATTTACCATCTCCTATGGACAACGTCATAACATTCAATCCCTCCTTTACTAATGCCACAACCTTAGCCTTTTGCAGAGGACTGACGCGACAGCATACCACACTATTGCACCGCTTTCCAAGATCCAGAAGCAAACCCCTCAAAGAATCGTCCAACGCATATTTGAGCGTCTCGCCGTCGATAACCAAGGCATGTTTATTACTCAGGCCGGATGATTTCGCGTCAGATCCAAAGAATTTTTCTAGTGCATCATTGAGTTGGTTAGCAGTACTTTGCTTATCTGAAGCCGTGACGACGATCAGCGCCATATCCTTTTGCAGTAGGTTGCAGGCAAAACCAATGTTTATGGCGGTTTCGATCTTATCGCCGGTGAGCACCCAAATCTTTATGCCCGCGGTGGACAAGGTTTTTATGCATTCGGGCACACCGTCTTGAAGACGATCTTCAATTGCCGTACCACCCATGAGAATCAGAGAGTGTTCAATCATTTCACATGCTTGTTCAATCTTCTCCTCGCGATCTGATATGCTGGACGCGGCCTCAGCATACTTTTGCGACCACAGTGCGTACTCTTCATCGGGTATCACGCGATATGCTATACAAAGCGTACGAAGGCCTGGGCGACGTGAAGATGAGCGATTAGAACGATCTTTAATCTTCATTCGCACAATAATCCCAATATCACGTCTCTGAGAATAGATGAAATGACAAACCTTCGTTAGCGAAAACTTCCAAATCTGTAAGTGTATCTTCTTTCAGTTTGGTCTGTTGCCCTTTTTCCAGTCGTGCGTATATCACACTATCTGCGCCTTTGCACAAGAGAATCACACCACCCTCTGGAGGCCGAATGATCACAGACATTCTCTTCCGTGTGCTGTTGAACTCGAGCACGTTGAGCAAGGTGAACTCCTTACGCTCACCAAGCAACTCAATGGCGAGCGTATCTTGAAATCGCTCCAGAAAAACGAAACCCACGTCCCGTGCGCAACCCACCAACGCGGCCTCGTCAGGAGATTGAGCCTTGTAGTCGATCTTGAAAGGGTTATTTTCATCAGGACGTTCCACGAGCACGGTGTGGCACAACGCGAGAGCCGAGAAAAAGTCCTGAATCGCTTTGGCTTGTTCGCCCTCTGATCTGAGATCTTGGAATAACTTGGAGTCAATGAAGGTGACGTTCGATGACACGTATCTATTTTCGAATATCTTGGACATCTCTTGTAGCATCAATTTTTTTTCAGCTTCGAGATCGAATCCGTCTTCAGTGATGGCGGACGATGGTTCCGCCAGTTTCGCGCCACGGGTGGCATCCGTCTCCCCTTGACCATAGGAAACTCCGTTGATAGTACATCTTTTAAACTCCATGACATTTTGAGTGAGTGTACCAGTTTTATCGGAAAATATGTATTCAATCTGACCGAGATCGTCGGAAATATTCCAGGTTTTTGGTGTGCAAGGATAATCAAGTTTCGGATAATACAGGTCGATATCAGAGTGGATAAAGTATGCCTGAGAATTTTTTTTTTTTTTTTTTTCAAAAAAGAAATCAAGTTGACGACTCTGTTACAATGGCCGCGAATTCAATTGAGGGGATGTCTCCTTTTTTGGTCATACCTGAACAGTTTTCACCATCTCGATGGTGATGTATAGTGATATGGGCACAATGTTTTGAAATAGTATCAGACTTGTCCTACAGGAAAAACAATAAAAAAAAAAAAAAAAAAAAGAAAGAAATTAACGAATTGACAGTGGTGATAATGAAAGTAAACGGAGGCGGAAGGCATACCAAAAGGTTAGAAAACCATTTTCTACAGCACCACCAGCATTATTTTCAGAAAACTCAAAGACATCGGCCGAACTTATGGGTTGGACATAGTAAATTGCGCCAGCTATAGCGGAACCAAAGCAGAGGATGAACAGAATTATGAAATTCATAGTGACCTAATGGAGGAAAAAAAAAAAAAAAGTCTTCAATGAAACCAAATTCCATCTTCCTCATGTGCTAAACCCTTTCTGCTCACATCCTTTCGATGTCCTATTATTTCGTGCACAATTCGCGCGTGAAAATGAACATACTTGAAAATTCGTTTCAATCTCGATCCTGCTTCTCTTGCTTGGAGTATCTCCGGAATTCAGCATGATTTTTGTGTCGGTTCCCGTGAACATGACCAGTCCAATTATCCATTCCGTATTGCGGACCACACATCCGCGTAAGAGAGCATTGTTAATGGATATTGGTTCGATTTCGTGATCATCTTCCGTCATCTCGGGTTTTTGAAACCAATGCATCACGGCGGTGTAAGAATAAAGATTTGGGTGTGGTGGTTCGGATTGTACGTAGAATGTGGCGCGTTCACATTCACTTTCGGTAACCGTCGATGCAGTAGCCGAGACGCAGTGACGTACTTTGAGGTTTGTCTCGCCGTCGAGCTCCTTCGTTTCAACGTAGCACAGACCATCAGGCTCACTGGTTGACAGGATTATAATATCGGCCGGCACCGAATCATTATTCCTCAGTTGTATGATGTCACCTACTTTAACATCCTGCCAGCGACTTTCCGTCCACCGTGCTCCACCAGTTTTTGACAAAAGTTCCTGTTGAGAGGTTAACGAAGGGTTGAACGATGATTGACTGGGTAGTGAAGGTAAATCGGTTGTTGGATTTTCGGCGACCTTGTTATTTCTCAAGCCCAGGTAACTGGCAACACTGTGCCATATCCTCATTTGAGCTTCGTCGCCGGGCACGTTTACATTTTTCCAATTTGTTAGCCTCGTGGTTTTTGATTTGTTCAGTGTCGTATCCTGCATGTGACGTTTCCAATCCTCGAAAGCATCCTTTAAAGCAGTCATCGATATGATTGTCAATAGGGGGGAAGCACTCACGAGGATTGACACACCACCACCGATCGAGGGAATGGCCTGTAAAATAATCAGAAACAAGAAATATATATTTGCCACCCTACGAAATTGTTCAAATAGATTCTTGGGTAAAAAGTTCAGCAGGGTGTATTTTGAGGTGCGGATTTTGTTTGTGACATAACTCTGCAATGGTTCTCCATATTGGTCGAGCTGATTGGGGGGCAAGGGAATGTTGACTAGTACACGTCGTTTGCCTTGTGCTGTTGTTGAGGCGGTGGAAGCCCTTTTTGAATCGGCGACACCTTCGGGGTCCTGATTACTGCCTTTTTTAAAGAAGGTCATGGGTAAGATTTAAGGAAGGTAAAGTATACTCTCTGAGAACTGTCTAACGTTGAAGGAAGATGTTGCAAGTCAACAGTTTGATGGTAATATCATCGGTTGAGAACGGGAAGAAGGACAGAGGAAAGAAAAAAAAAAAAAACGAAAGTGTGATAAAGAAATGTCGAGTAAAAAGTTTTTCGATGCAGTAATATCAAATGCAATCCGTGTATTTTTAAATAGGATGTCCATAAAAGGAAACCAAGCGATACATTAATAACAGGTTCCAACGGTGGATCTTTATGATTGATGGATGTAAAAGAAAAAATTTCCATGTTACAAATTTGGTAAGAACATCATGAAACCTGTCTTCGTGAGCATAAGGATATACATGTAAAAAATAATTAATGATAAACATGTACACAGTGGATTCATAACCAACCAACGATTTGTCCAACTTGACCCATGCGTGTTCCTGCGAATTCAATATAACAATATTCCTAGGTGCATTCTGAGAAAAGCATGCAACGAATCTTGGATTAAGCATTGGTGAAGATGTGCGCACGTATGTACTGTACATAATTGGCATTTGGGAGTTTGCTCCCCTGAAAACCCTGAACACGTAGTATTTTTAATTCCATCCGTCTTTCACAATGACGTAATTACTGTATGTCAGTGAGTGAGTGATTGAAGCAAGAATCGTCGATTCTGCCGAGAACATTGAGATCAGACCACGGAAACCATAAGAGGGCACATTGTATTAGGGACAATGAATGACCGATCCAACCCCTTCACGAGTTGTGCCGGAAAGTAAATTTCCAATTTTGGTTAAATTAAGGAGTGTCAAGAACTCCGACATCGCCCCTTCTTCTCTAACGAGTTACCAGATGTGGTAACGAATGCTTATTATTATTATTGTCATTACGTATTAGCGAACATCACAAAACGTCATTCCAAAAGGTCCATCAAGGTTTTTATCGTATGTATTATGTCAGAAAATGGATTAATTAAATTACGATTATACCCGGAATTAATAATTCCTTTAGAATTCGAGGGAAAAAAAAAAAAAAAAGATTCGAATCATTCAGAATGTAACGATGGCACATTAAAAATACACTATCTATTGGGGGAATTCGAATTCCCTATCACTCATCCACATTCGATTTTCTGTATTTTTTGGGAAGCTTATGCGCCCTTTCGTAAAACATGGCGACACCAGGGATAACGTCCACATCGGTCTCCGAGAAAAACAACTTATTCTTCCCTTGGGTCGGCGAGCCCAGGGGTGAGGTGGCTTCCAATTGAAAGTAACTTCGGTCAAACGAAGGAGCTGATTTCACCGAATAATCTTCGATCGTCTTGATTTCCTCCTCCAGTGTCTCCCGGCGGAATTGCATTCTGATGTTTGGAACGTTGGTTTTATGGATGTCTGTGAAATTAGCAATTTAGGTTGAATACCACACTGCGCTGTGAAACGTGAACAAGGATCTTGCGAATGTCGAATGACACCGTTACCGTTCCCGTGCTCTCCGGATAAGAACCAGTTGACCCCGAGCCAATGTTTTTTGATGGCCATCTCAAATCCACTTTGAACGACCGAGTTACGTGCAAGTTCACACATGTCCGAGGACGACAGCTTCCAAATCTAAAAGCAAAAGGAGTCAACTAACAATTCTCCAATTGATAACATTATAAGGTATTGCACGCGAGACCTTACTTGTGCGGCAACGCTGTACTCCTCTATCAAGGGTTCCTTGGTGAAATGAAATTGGAGCGGGTCATCTGTACTTAAACTTATGTTCAGACCCCTCTTGAAGAAATTCAGAAAGGGATTTCTTTCGTAATTTAAAAACAATGCGTTATTTGACAAAGGAGACATTGCAATGCCGATCTGTTTGAGATAAAAAAGATATTGTAATGCAGGAACTTTACGCAATAAGATGCCATGTGAGATCGAATAAGATGTAAGAAAGGCCGAGGTCAAATGATCGGTATCCCCGGCTTCACCAGCATGCGGTCGGAGAACGAATGTATCTATTATTATTATTGATGACGATGGGTGAACGAACGCATCATTGGTGTAAAGCCCGCGAGATTGGTTAACACGAAGGGATTGTGAAACATACTAAATCCTCTGGCGCTTCGCCATTGGTTCAGGCTCGTCATGTTGGCAAACATGTAGTACAGGTAGTAGGAGTACGGTGGATTGAGAGTGGTGATCCACTCTTTTGGACGCGGATATTTCTTGTGAATTCTTCTTTCAGCCTTAGATTCATCATCCACGCTATCAAACCCCACCACGCGCTGAAGAAACACATGCAATTCCGGGTGAGTTCGCGGATCCTTGGTGACCTCAAACAACGGTTCGAAGATGTCTGATTGTGGAGGAGAAGATTGTTGTTAAATTTAAATTAAATGTGTCGAGATCACAAGGCAAGGCGTTCACAATCGTAATATCATTTATCCACTTTTTACGATGTCCTCGAAATTTTCCACAATTTTTGCCTCCCTGTATGTGCTGTAAAGTCTCGGCACTTGAATCAGCCAGCGAACATTCAGAGAGAATAGTTTGTGAGACACCACCCATTTCGCAAGCTTATCCCACTCATTCCTTGAACTATGGGATTTAAATTATAATAAAAAATGAATTTCAAATAATTGCTACCTACAAAGGTGAAAATCGCATTCACATGAAATTCTTACCGTCCATAAATTGAAACTCGATATTCGGCCATCTGATACTTGCTCGCCTCAAGATCGGCTATGACCTCTTTTATTGGATTTTCGATGAAGAAGATTAGCGACACTGTGTGATCGAATCGAATTCTTCTGAACATGCGCGTACGCCGAATTACCTTTGGTGAGCTCTGCCAGGTATCTGCCGTTGATGAAATTATCTGTTTTCAGGAAAATTTCTCTCAATCGAGATTCCCCGACGGGATTATATTTCAAGTTAAATTTATCGAATCGATGGAACGTGTCGGTGTGAGCCTGGTGACCATTCAGAGGTTGATTCAAAGATAGAAGGGCCGAATCAAGGATTGAACAAAATTTTCCCGAAAATGGAACTTACATGCATGTCCAACGTGTCAATGCTAAGGTCGTACGCGGTCAGTTTCAAACTCTCGAACACTTCGATCAGCGTGAGAATTTTATTGTCCCTGTTGATAACTTGGTCCTAATGAATTAAAGTCGCGCGTTAGGTCGAAAAAAATTGACGACGTCGTGATGTGAATTGATAAGAACGAACGAACGAACCAACGTACGTTGCCATATTTCTTCAACTTTAACTTTATGAACCTGAGTAGATGTTTGGAGTTCATACAGGAGGACAGGTGCACGTGTGTGTCAACCTTTCTGACATTGTAGAAATCTCGATGGGGGACTCTCTGGGTAAATTTCCGAAGAATCAACAAAGCGCCAAGTGAAATATTATTGACGCAACGAAAACTTACCTTTGAGTCGGCGATTTCCTTGAATTCTTTTAACAAAGTGTACATGTCCCACTTGCTCTCCAGATATAACAAACGCCTGTACGCGTAACTTTTCACCGGACCGTATGAGATTATTTCAAGAATGCAATCAAGGTCCATGAAGTACTCTTTCGTGTCCGGAACTCGGTAAGCCGGCTTACCCCCTTCGAGATCTAAAACGCAAAACGCCGTGTTCAGAGGATTGCATGTGATTCCCGAATTCAAGATGCTTACCGTCTTGGGTCTTGTATACTTGAAAGACGCCTTGATCATCGATCGCGAAAGAGTACTAGTAGATGAAAAGGGTTTCAAGAGATTTGGGTGAGAAAAACGGTCATCGCCAAATGTTAACAGTATCAGATATAAATATTGATGTCAGAGAGAAATCGACACACTTCGTGTTCCTCGGGTATCTCGCATTCCTCGAAAGAAAAGTCTTCTCCCACTTCAACGGGGGTTCTCTTTTCGTCATTTTCATTGACAACAAGCGGTTCATTGCATGACCGAGATTGTGCGAAAGCTCTGTACGGTGGGGGCGGATAGATCTTCCAATCATCTCGATCCTTAGGATTGTCGCCTAATCTTTGTAATGAGAGGGCCATGTATTTGTCACGCAAATCAAGACATTTTTTAAACTTGGTACAAAGTATAATCAATTCCTGTTTAACTTGTGACTGTTCCTCTACGATCAACCACCGAAATTGATTTTAATTAGTATTTTTTTTTTTTTTTTTTTTCCTTCTTTCCTTGTTTCTCTCGGACAATGATATATAATATAAAGATATTTTACCGATACCTTCTAGATAACTCGTGTCATTGACCCCATCGCTAAGCAAAGCGCCCAATTCGCCACGGAGCAGTTGTTCCGAAGGCGGCAGAGATTTTTTTCTCGCCCAGTACGCTGAATCATCCTTTTTTTCCATTTGCGAATGATGAATAAAATGAATAAGCGAAATTTATTAGATTATCGTTAAATCAAAATTTATAAAATCGTTCGCGATTGTAAAGAAATCACATCACATGAGAAATCGCTATTCTATTTGCAAAGTGAATGAATGAAAATTAAGACCAAAAAAGTCGATGTTTATTATATATAAATTACACGTCATTATGCAAAAACCCCGCCACAATCATCCTGTTTGCGTCGCACACAACCCTTTATCCTAAATAGGGTGAAGGCAATATAAAAAGAACACAACTCACACTCCTAATAGCTTTTTCGACGTGATAAGAATAAAAGGGTGATTTTATCTTGCTTAAATTCAAATTTTTTTGGCGGACTCCCGTGAATTTCAGAAGTTGTGGGAAAATTCAACCGAGTCTCCTCGTCCAAAGCTGAACTCTCGAGAATCTGATCTGAACTAATGCTAACGTTTCTTTCTGACATATTTGAAAGTGTATGCAGGAAAAAGAATCGACGGTCCGACGATATTTATATTGTATAACGTAACCGACTAAAAAAAAAACCAGTTTTTGGTAAACCCGCAATCACAATAATAGACACCTGACACATTGTATCGGTGTCAATGCTAAGGTCGTACGCGGTCAGTTTCAAACTCTCGAACACTTCGATCA